TTGCATTGATGTTCACGAAAACACAGAGATGCATTTCAGGAAGGGAGCTATAGAGAAGAAGGCAGAGTTTATGTGGATATATTGGTAAGATAACAGTTGAACAAGTTAAGAGTGTAGTGATCTCCCCAATAAAATACGAAGGGAATGAGGGTGGGTCGCTACAATGGGCGTGGCATGGCGAGTCTTAGTCGTGAAAGTTGGAACTGAGGAATGTAGCTCGCGCGAACACTTTCCGTGGAAATAGCGAGAGAGCAGCAGAAATGTGTTCCGTAATCTAATGGTTCAATATCTTGTGGAACAGCTTGTGTATTTCAACTAACGTATTGGCGGAAATTTGTATGGTATTCATTCGTACGCTGACTTTAACGGAATTTGACAATGGGAGCCCAAGCATACATGGGCTAAGCAGAAAAAATTATTCAGCAACCTTGACATTAATTTTTTTAGGGACACCTCAGGCATCGTGGATTAATCTTAGCCTCTTCCTGAAGAGGAACTATTGCATGGTGAAGACGGCCTATTGGACCTATACTTAATAATAGTTGCAAGCACATACAAATGCTGCAAAAATATATATATATTTGTAATTCATCAAGAGGTGGTACACCCCAACAAAAAAAAAACAAAAAATAAAAAAACAGGTGAACAGTTAAACTGGCTAACCGTAAGTTCTATGCTGACAGTTTCTTCTCTCGCACTTCTCATTTGTGGAAATCTTCTGGTTTCTTACTTTTCTGTCAACTTTGATTTTCACAAATTTAAATGCCATTTCAATCGTTATCATCTGTCGTCTTACAATTATTGTTCTCTCTCGTTAATAATGGTTTATTTTTCTTATATTCTATAACACTCAGTAACCATTGCATCTTAGTGGCTTTATTGCCTTGTTTAGGGTGAAATTATTTAAAAATAGAAAAAAAAAGAAAAAAAGAAACGGGCATGCCGACAAGTGTTGGGGGTGCATATCGAGGTTTTAGTTTCATGCTCATGTAGAAATACTAGTCCATTGTGTTTCCCATATCAGGCTAAAATGTGGGGTTAATGTTTCAACGACTTTCTTATGGTAAGTGTTGGGACGAATATTAGAATATTGTACGCAAAGTACAGACCGGTAGGCCCTCTGAGTAAAGAAAATGATTACAAAAGACTTCTTGTAAGAATACTGGATACCCTATAACGAGGTACTTTTTAATGATACAGGTATATATTCAAAGTTAGATATTCGAAGAAAATATGAAGCGAATAGCTAGCAATGTAGGGTATACAATATTTCTTGCATTTATTGGTGAGGCAATCCGGTCGTAGATACGCCTGGCTATATTGCCTATATGACAATGTGAGCATCGTTTACTACGTATCAGTTGCACTCTGCATTTATAGACGCGATAAAATGTTTCGGCGTATGAATTGCCATTTTATTGCACATATTCTGAATGACGTAGTTAATCTGATGCCTTTTTCATTCAACCTTGTCACGCTATCATGATACAATTTCGACTTAACGTCGGCGATTGGCCATTTAAATGTTTTGAAAACACCTATGTTGCAGCCAATCAAAAGAAATCATGCCATCAATGTGAATGATCACACCTACGCAGTGAACATCCAAAACAATAGATTCAACATATGTTTAGTGACACTCGGACAGAATGGATCATGGATTCTCACCAGTTACCAGTCAAATATTCAAACCGAACATTAAGATCGATGCCTTAAATGCTATAAACCTAAATTTTCATAATCGAACAAACGACGCAATCATTTGTCTCATAAGAAGGTGAGATGAGTTGCTCCTCAGGAGGTGGGCATCATTAATACCGCTCATATTCAAGCAAAGGAAAAAAAAGCAAGTAAGCAACATTTGCATCAGCACTTATACATATACATATATCCTCTCAGCACAAAAAAGGACTTTATAAAATATCTTTAAAAATCTCTTCTGTTTTTCTATTCGAGAAACATTCAAATTGATGCACATTAACTAGTTTATGAAAAGAAATTCAGACTATTAAAATATATCTGTTCATAAAATTTGTATCAGTTCTTTCCGTTCACACACGTACACACACATAGACACACACGCAAACACACACATATATTATGATTGTACTTTTTCAGATGATGATATGTAACTGGTGATTCTATAAATTGACTATCAAGGATGACCTTGCTAATCCTTCAAAAAGAATCACCAGTTATTTACCATCGTCTGAAGAAGTACATACATAGTATTGAAACATGAAAGCTTTTATGTAGCGATTTCCATATATTGCACTACTTTTATTGAGCACTTTTTAAAAATTAAATGCTACGACCAATGGAATTTTACTTCATCTGTTCTTTCTCTCATTTGTGTGTATATATATATATTATTGCAGATATTTGTACAAATTTCTCTGATGTATTTTTACGCCAACGAGACTTGTTGATATATTTGTTTCAACTTAGGACTTAAAAACAACTGTTAATGATTTTTTTTATCTACTTATTACTTTAAACGTTATATTCAGTGGGCACACGTATTTCAGTATATCGTCCTGTTTTCTTTAACAGTCGAATTAATGTTTACTCACCTAGATACCGAAAGTGCTCTAAATAAAATGAGCCGCTTGATACAAATCGAACACGTATCAACTTTTTAATCTGTGAAAATACTGTACAAGTTAGCGTGATTTACCATTAAGACACGTGAAGCATTCACAATAAAGAGGGGCGTAAATTAAACTTTTTAAAGAAAAATCTATCTTTCTTTGGCACCTTTTTAAATGCTAAGTTTATTTTCGTATCCGAATCATGAACAAAGTCATTTTTTAAGTAATAAAATTTTTCTTACCTCCTTTGATGTGTTAATGACAGTCCGCAGTCGTACTAAAATGTATGGTCTTACACTAATCGAATTTATATAACCTCAGCACAATTTGTGTTACAGCCAATATGGTCGCTCATTCTCCTGTTCCCCACAAACATTTGTTATATTTTCTAACCGAAAAACATACATAATATCAATCAGGAAGAAATTTATCATCGGTGTGTACATGTGTTTGAGTAGAGACAACTGTTATTTGCTAAAATGAAATTAAAGTCTACCGGTTCGCAAATCTTACTAGAGAAAATGATTCGCCCGACAGAAATCGAACTTTAAATCCGAGAATAGTTATTTAAGAAATGCACATATCTCGTTAGGATATTTCAAAGTCTGTATCTGATAACTTAATTTTTAAAGCAATTAAAAATGTTGTCTTTATAACTCCTTTCCCCTTTTGATACCTCGACGTATAAAAGTAGTTAAAGAAGGCAGTGACAGCATGAAATAAAGTATAGTATTGTATATTAATTAATTTTAACAAGGCCTCAGAATAACTCTGGTTACAAACCAAATGTTCACCCATTTCTCTTTTTTCTGACATGATTTTATTGTTCTAGTTAGGTTCTCCACAGCTGTTGCCTTGTGCCCGACTAAGCTAAATTTAGTAAATATAATTTGTGATTTTGTTCTATTTGTTTGAATGCATGAGCCTTAAGCTCTATTTTTTTAACCAAGGATCAAAGTATAGTATCTGCTTCATATCCGACCATTTTGAGCTGGAATTTGTTGTAATTTCTGACCAAGAAGCATACATAATATTAAGAAGGAAGGAACTGAGAGAATAATGGGAAGGGAGAGAAAAGAGAATGAATAGGGTAAGCTAGTAGGTAACAAAAAAAAAAGAGAAAAATACAAAAGAAAACCAGGTGAAAGGAAAAAATATATAGTGAGAAACCTCGAGCGGAAAGTGAAAGAGGTGAAGATGTAAGAAAGTGTTAGAGAGACAGGAATACTGGTGTCACATATAAAGAGACAATCAACGAAGACAAAACAGGTAGCGTTGGAAAGTCGCTAAAAATTGGGTAAGATGGAAATTCTTTATGAAGACATAATCAAAAGAAAGATGAAAGATAGGAGAGAGAAAATATTTATGTTTTACTTACCTCAATCAACGAGGTAAGTTACATTAGTTTTAAAGTAAAGAACAAGTAATTTATTATGAAATGCTCCCTCTGTCCCATAATAGTTGTTACATTTAGTTTATAAAATATATATGAAAATGTGGGAACAGCTTTGGGACAGAAGCAATATTATTTGACAAATTCTTACATACATGCATACATACACACATACCTACGTAGATACATGCATACTTATATGAAGACATATATATATATACATTCAAACGCAGACACATAAGCGCGCACACACACACGCGCATATGTATATATATATATAATTTACATATTTAATAATGTTTTAAAAATAAACATTTTAATAAGGATTTATCTATTTCAGTCTGTTAATATCTATCTAGCTATCTCAAGTTATTCATGCTTCAGTCGGTTCTTATATATCTGTCTGTCCATCTCTCTTGCTCTCTTTAACCCATCTATCTATCTATCTATACAAATATATGTTTACTACAATAAATAGACATACAGTACAGATACACACACACACACACACACACACATATATATATATATATACATACTCTCTCCTCTCTCTCTCTATATATATATATATATATATATAACCACTTTAATTTTTTAAACTTTTCAGCATATATATATCTATATATATATATATATATATATATATATATATATATATATATATATATATATATGAAATGTTAAGATATATATATATGTGAACGTGTCCGAATATACATCTAGATAATAAAAGTCGTTCTTGTAAGATTTTTTTTTTTTCTGAAATTTAAAAATCAGCTTGAAATAAGTTATATCACAACAATAATTATTCTGTACATTTATGGAAAATAAAAATCAACATTTTCAGTAAATTAATGCATTGAAAAAATGAAATACTGATTTACAGTTGCATGCCACGGTGCAGACAGATTTTTAACTTCAGGTGTGTTACAAAATGAAAATAAAATGAAAATATAGAGATAGATAGATAGATAGATAGATAGATAGGTCTTGTGAATATTACTTTAGAAACTTACCGTAAAAAGACTTGGTTGCAAAGCGGACAGATTCGTCGACCAACAAACGCCAGCTGATAACGTTTGTGTATGAGTGATTTTGGACAAGCTAAATGAACATAGACGACTCTACCAAAAGTCCTGTAGCCAATGAGGTGGCCTGCTGGGTCTTCATTGGAAAGAGAGATATAAAGAAATAGAGAGATGTTGGTGCAGCTCGGGGTGTGGAACTTATTGCTAGCGAGAGGGTCGTGAGTTGGGAAGGATTATAAATAATTAGGGTGGGTGGTAAAAATTGGCTGACGGCAACCAGCAGTTAGTGTTCTCTAGCGGGGAGAATTAAAAAAAAAACAAACAAAAAAAAAATAAAACAATAAGAAGTTTAGTTGATTGATTTTAATGCGCGTGTTTTTCGAGAAGTATATCTGTGGGGATGGAGGCATATGAATAACTTTGTTGCAGTGAATTTTTTTTGTTTTCTTATTTTTGGGTCCACACATTCTTTCCTCTTTCGTCATCTCCTTATTTTTCTCACTTAATATACATTTTTTTTTTTATTATTTAAACGTTATTTTTCGTGGATAACCATATTTGAATCGACGTATGTATTAAACTCAAAACGGTATATTTACTTATTTTCATCTATCTGCCTAAATATTCGAGAAATCTTATTAAAGAAAAATATGTGCTCAGCAGCAGGATTGGAATCTGCACCCCCCCAGGTGAAGCCATCGTTAGATTCGACGTGCTCCCTACCCTCTCGGCCACAAAGAAAGTCGAAGATCAAGCCAAATTGAATAATGACATAATACTTTAATAAGGTTCTCCGAACATTCAGGCCGGTAGACTAAAATAAATAAATATACTGATTGATACATAAACGGAGTGTCTACTCGAATATGGGTATCCACTAAAAATAACGTTTAATTAAGCGTAGAACACTAACCATGGGTATATAGTACGAAGCACAAATTTTCCTACTTTTAATTACAATTTTCAGTACCTGATTTTCTTAACTAAATAATCTGTTTTTCAGTTCCTATTAATGTTAACTCAAAGTACAAAGTTTGAAGTGTCTGCATGTAAAATATTTAAAATAAAGATTTATATTTCATTTTTTTTTTTTTTTTTTTTGATATTTTTAAAATCGGGTATGATATACCCATGGTTAGTAGTGGTGTAACTTTAATTGATGGTTAGTGTTCTAGAGTTAATAAAATATAGAAATATATATAAACAGATTGATATAGAGAAATAGAGAGACCGTAAGATAAATAAACAATATAAGTAGGAAGATAGTGTTGCACCAGTCTTTCAAGTAGGGACTCCTTCTTGCCTTTAACATCCTCGCTTTCAATTATGCCAAATCACCTTTTGCACTGGGAAGAAATGTTTAACTATCTTAACCACACTTGTGTATTACAAATAATTACTATTTTTCTCCCTTTTGAATTAATTTCATTTTGAATATAATTTGCAATAAATGAAAAGAGATACAGTTAGAGAGAGAGAAATGTTGCTGTAAGGCAATTGTTATTAAACTTTGAGAAACAGTCAAGTGACGGGCGTGATTAAGTTACTGATTAAGTTAAGTGGTCACCAAAAAGTGTTTTTTTCCTAAAGTATATATTTAATAGGGCTTGTTTTGTATGTTCATTATTTGTCTAGATGACATCGGCGTCATCCGGACAGTGAGCTAGCTAGCTAGACAGATAGACACCTGAGATAGTACTTTTCCAAGCGTAGCTTAGATGTGGCACAAGGCCGAAAGTATGGTGCATCCAGTGATGATAGAACTCACTACTCGGTCATAGTTGATCTAGCGAGACATTCATGCTAACTATTACACCATATCGAGGTGCCCACCTGCCAAGAGAGATGTAGAGGTAGATAGGCAGATAGATGAGAAGGGTCTGAGATAGATAGATAGATAGATAGATAGATAGATAGATAGATAGATAGATAGATAGATAGATGCTCGTATCTATATATCTATCTATTCATATATGTGTGTGTCTCCACTCAAGTTCCCTTTACTGACCATTTAAGAAATATATACACACAAACTAACGGCGTCTCCATGGGTTCACCTACCATTTCTACATTATCAGAAATTTGAACTCCCAAATAATTAAAAAAAAAAACTAAACCAACGACGTACATCCACTACACTGACCACATAATTAAATTAACTAACAACACATACGAAGTCAAAAATCTGCGAAAAAACTTCAAAAATAACTACGTCATAAAATCCACCTATAAATTAAATATAAACAACGCAATTACCTTTTTAGGAGCACTGACTGATTCGAATAAAATTTGTAGAACCTTCGTCTTAAAAATACAACTAATTTAAAATCGCTTACTTAACTACAACAGTGAATGGATCTACAAATACAGATTCAAAATAGCTCTCATAAATAATCTCATAAATAGCTGACATTTTAATCTCAATTACGCACAATGTTTCTTAACAAACTCAAAAAAAAAATAAAACAAATATTAATTGAGAATAATTTCTCAAATATATAACTGATAGACAAATTAAACCAATCTTAGAAAAAATAGAGACAAAAAATAATAATACTATTAATTATATTATAAAAATCACAATTAAACTGTTCTGCAGGAACTTATCACCAAAAATTAGACAAAATAACTTAAGTAATCCAATACATATATACATATCATCTAACCACAAATCTAACAACTTAAACTCATCACTTGTTATGAAAAATACTTAATATTTTCAGCATCGTAAGAACAATGATGAGGATAACTGTCCGCCTGTAAATAATGTAAACAAAGATCAATCCTCATCCCAAAAATTCAGACTGAATTTCGAATTCTGAATACTTTAAAAATGAAGATCTTCTTTACTTGAATATTTGGCGCTATACAGTATTCTTTTCATTTAACCTCCCAATTAGCTTTGGGTTATACTAAACATGGTAATATAATTAATAAGAAGTACATAGCTGTAAGTTATTTATTAATTTCATGTAAAAGAATGTTTGATTCGAGTTGTATAATCAGTTAAAATGGACTTTGTTTACACGACAACATTTGTGTCATTGGCAAAACAAGAATATTCAAAACGGTAAACAGTACATTTATTTAACATGTATATGTTGATAAAAAATTATAATGATTTTTTTAAAAATTTCTAATCATATCACCCAAAGCAAGGCAGTAAAGCCATTAAGACAAAAGGGGTTACTGAGTGTGAAAGAATAACAAAAAATATCGAAACTTTATGAAGGAACGAGGACAATAGGAGAGTAATCAAGAAGGCAGTAGATAACGATTGACATTGCATCTAGATTTTTGAAAATCAAAATTGGCCGGAAAATATGGATCCGGATGAGAGTTCTACGAGAAGTGCGAGAAAAGAAACTGTTTTCAAAGAACTTACGGTTACATCTAAAACAATTCAACTGTAACTTGATGATTTTATTAAAAAAGAAACACACACTTTTTAAAAATGTCCGACATTATTATTATTAACATATATAATTACATTATAATTTTATAAATATTATTATTAATCTTTTACTAATATATACATTCATTTTAACTTTTATTCGATAAAACTTTGTCACTCCAGTACTTTTAATTTTTGACTGTTTTCATCTTCTTTTCTCTATTAGGTGAAGCATTGCCAGTTGTAATTATTCATTTTATATAAAACGGATGTAAGGCGAAGAAGAGTCTTCTCATCAAACCATTTCAGCCTATACAGGAAGGTGATTCTGAGAGAATTAGAAGTCCTACCAGGATTCATTATTGGCGGCCACAATCTCAACAACATAACATATGCAGATGATAGCGGACAGAGAAAGGAAACTATAAGAATTCCTACAAAAGGTTTTGAAGGAAAGCGAGAAGAAAGGTTTAAACATTAATTGCAATTTCCACAGAAGGAAGTGAAGGAAAGCGAGAATAAAGGATTAAACATTAAGTGCAAGGATACTGAATTCATGGTTGTTGACCAAAAGAACAGCCCGACATACAAATAACAGATTGGAGATACCGAAATCAAACAGTTACAATTTAGATATCTGAGAAGCGTATTAACAGAGGACGGAATGTTCGACACGGAAACCTGAAGGCGCATTGGGATAGTGAAAGATGCATTCTAAAAGCTAAGCAAAGTATTAACAAATAAATTTCGTTCGAAACAAAGAAAAGCGTACTGAACTGTAACCTAATAACAGTTCTCCAAGATGGCAGTGAATGCTGGAAAATCTCGTCACGGATGAAGAAGAGACTTGAAGCAACAGAAATGTGGTTCTACAGAAGGTTACTGAAAATACTATGGACCGAACATGAGAGCAACGACGAAATTTTAGACACGATAGCAACAAATTGGACAATTATGCTTAACATCAGGAAGAGACAGTTGACATTTTCTGGGGCACATAATGTGGAAAGAAGGCTTGGAAAATTTGATACCCACAAGACACATTGAAAGTAAAAGGGCCAGAGGAAATCAACGCACAACCAATATAGAGAGCTTGAGCGAATGGATGGACAGAACATGATTTTAGGAGAGATGGCAAAAATACAGAAGTTATTAAGAGTTACAAACGACACGAAATTGGGGAGAGCCATGATCAACAACGTCCTGAAGGGACACAGCGAATAAAAAAATGAAATTTACTTTCGTCGTTTTTTTTTTTTAAATGCGTCAGGTTATTATTATATATTTTTGAATAGTATTTATTTTCATATCTATTTTCATATTTATTTTTGTTTGATAAAGCATTGACAAAGATTATTAATGTTGAACTAGTTTTACTTTCATCTTCAAATTTTTCCTATTAAATGAAGCTTTGCCAACTATGATCATTAAAATTTGACGGATGTTTACATTCCTTTAAAAGTTTATTAAATGAAGAATTGTGAACTATTAATAATTATTTTTATTAATCATTTTAATGAGATGAAGTAAACTCATTTATTATTAATAATTTGTTATTTTTATTTGTTTTTTTTTCTATCGATATAAAGGAAGTAAAAATTACGATGAAAGAATATATATATAGTCAGAGATAAATAATAACAGCGAACGTAGGCAAGATTTTATGGACGCTGAATTCTCTTCATTTCATTCTTGTTGCAATGAACACTACGCTTCGGTCGATCCATTCCTCAGACTTCAGTCGGGTGCAATACGCTAAAAAAAATGAAATTTTCTGATGCAAGACGTTTACCTCGCGTTGTGTTAAGGGTAGCAAACATAAAAAGGCATATGTGCGTCTGAAAAATTTCCAATGTGTTACTGTCTTCTTGAAGTTACAAACGAGAGATATCGGTCTGTATTCTATTATTTCCCTGTCACAAAAACGCCTTTTCTTATCTTTGTAAGTTACATGCTATTCATATGAAAATAGCAATGGTAAAATCTAGTTGATAAAATGACGCTGAACTGATTACGAATCTATCACTAGTGGGAGGGATGGAGGCAGGGCAAGGGTCTCGTGCCTCTGACCTGCATTCTATGACACGGTAGTATTCTTATAAAATACCTAATTATGTACAATAATGAACCATATACAACATAGGGGAATTATACAACTATAAAAATTGAAAATAAATGCAATGTATCTTATTGCAAATTTGTGACATGTCATAATAGGTCATTTTATCTTAAATTCGTTTTTACTTAATTTTTGTAAATTTGAAGATGTAAGTAGAACTAGTGCAAAATTAATAATCTTTGTTAATGCTTTATTTAACAAAAAAGAATATGAAAATAAATATGAAAATAAATACTATTCAAAAATATATAATAATAACCTGACGCATTTTCATAAAAAAAAAAAAACCTTAAAAGTAAATCTCATTTTTCTATTGGCCGTGTTCCTTCAGGACGTTGGCGATCATGGCTCTTTTCGTTAACAACCATGCATTCAGTCTCTTTGCACTTAATGCTTAGATCATTTTATCTTAAATAGATCAGCAATATTTTGCGGTATTTTTTAATATCAACTTGAGATTTTTCTTATTAAAAAGTTGAATAATTTTTATTCATTAAACATTATGGATAGAAAATATTGAATTTTATATAGTTTTTCTTTTCGAGGCTTAGCAAAACAAATTCACGGATTTGGACGAAAAAAATGACCCCAGAATTACATTAAAATTATGAAAAATGTTTCATTCGTTAATAGTCAGTTTTGATTAGTTTAATTTCTAACGTATATAAATTTAGTTAGAAAAAAAGCAAATGTTGATAAAATAGAGAAGGTTACAAAGCAAAACCCTCCTCCACCCGGACAGGGGTTTCGAATGTAGTACACGGCGGCCCTGTACGGAAAAAGTGACAATTGTTTAAAAAATTATATGTAAAAAGAAAAATAGGTATAATTTTACTTTTATAAATTGCCATAAGGTCGTATTCATATAAAGTACAAATTTTATTGTTACTTAATTATGTACAGTAATGGATCATATGCAATATAACAGTTCAACTAGAAAATTTGAATCCTATTAAAAATTAAAAATTTTAAACATTTCCCAAACTAAATTTATATTTCATGCACGTGAAAGTTATTGATGATTTTACGAAACTGAATTATCACTGAATTGAAATATGAATTTATTTTTTATCAAAAGGAAATTTAAATATTATGAATATTGTGATTTATAATTAAAGGATTGAAATATTATGTCTATTATCAATGAATTGAAATATAATTGAAATAGGAATTAATTAGTTTGTTATTGTCTTTTGGAAAGAAAAAATAAGTGAAAGATCTAATTGCGAAAGACACGGTACTCGTATTTTTGACTTGAGGTGCTCAAATATTATAACAGGGACATGTAATCAGTAATCAAGTCAGAAATTCAGAATTGACAGAAAGAAAAAGATGAAATAACATTAAAAAATGTCATGGCAAAGAATCAATATATTTACCTTTCTGTTACATGATCACCTGACCGCTTTCGGATAAGTTTCTAATCTCATTCAGGAAGAAGTTTCATCTTTCTTGATCTTGATGCAAGATCTGTTTTCTTAGCTGATTTGGGGCGCTTTTAATTTCAGTACCTACTACCGGATCTGTAATATGACACAATCCAGAAATGAATTTAAATTGAATGACAAGGACAAATATCAAATTTTTGTTCTCGTCTTGCATTATTTCAGCAATGCTTTCTCTTATTCTGTGACGTTTAAGTAAGCAATAGACATTAGAAAAATGGTAAGGGAAGAGAGTTCATTGGGTGTAACACATACGTACTAGTGTCTCTCCCGTGTTGCTTGGGGTGAAGTGTTTAAAAAAATACAATTTATTTAATTAAATGCTATGCTTTTTTTTTAAATAAACATGATTAATTACAATTACCGGCTTGAACGTCCGAGAAATTTCGTGGAAAATATGCGTTCTCCGACAGGAATAGAACCTGTGTCCTATACGGAACCTTCAACTGATTTGGCATGCTCAGCTACAGAGAAGGGTATTGTAAGAAAAGTTCAAATTACTCGTTATAAACAATAAATCTTCGATGATATTTCACGAACGATCATGTCTCTTCACGAAACGTACCTTAACGTAAACATTGACAACAAATTATAATTGTCGGACCTAATCCATTTCATAATATATATATATATATATATATATATATATATGGTTGTTTAAAGGAATTGAACAATTCGATTGAATAATTCCTGTCTAATTTTGAATTTGGTCTTTTTGATGTGCCTATGTGCATAAATCAAATTCTATCTATCTACGTTCTCTCTCTCTCTCTCTCTCTCTCTATATATATATATATATATATATATATATATATATATATATATATATATATATATATATTATTATTATTATTATTTTCTATATTTTAGTTAGACGTGTTTCTGGTCGCGCGGCCTTCTTTAGGCAAAGAGATACTCAGGCAAAGAGTGGATATTTCCACATATTATTAAAAGGAGTTAATTGTCCTTATGTCTTTTAATGTTTAACCCCCTGTATTGTGCGTTGGTTAAATTAATATTAACCTCATCTAAATTTAACCAATACACAAAACAGGGGCTTATAAAATGCAAAGAAAAAAGATGTGTTTATGATATCATTATAGAAAGAAACTTCTACGCATTTGAAAACGCCTCAACGATATTCACAATAAATACAAAATTAAACTGCAACTCCAAAAATATGATTTATGCACTTAAAATGAAATATATATATTTAAAAAAAATCTAAATTATAACCCAAAACGTTTGCGGTTTCTGTCTTCTTTTTAAAATATACACTTTTCTCTCGTTGGAACAACTATAGCCTCTTTCCCATATATATATATTTAATTGATTCATTGAGTCTGATAGAAACCTCAACAGGAAAATAGAGGAAGCACTGGACGGCCGTTTCGTCCTATAATTGGGACTCATCAGCAGTGCGCATCCACCACCAAGTATCGAAACCCTGACAGTTGGGTCGTCAAGCGAACAACATACCAACTGTACCAAATGGGCCTCGGTAACGAAGATATTCCTAATCAGACTCAACTAGCGCTGCTCGCTCACATATTCCGTGGCGGAACTCTACTGAGTTCTCTGTAACCGTAGGACTGTTCCCCCGGGAGCCACGACAACTCTCACCAAGCCGCGCCGACTGGAGCTTTAGAAATCGGTTCAAGCGAAGATAAAGACAAATAATAATAAATAGGATATATATATATATATATATATATATATATATATATATATATATATATATATATATATATATATATATATATATATATATATATATATATATATTGTCTCCATGTCATTATTAAGACATTTCTCGCAAGTTATTTAATGTTTGGGTCAAAGTTGTTGAAATAACACCTTTAGTCCTTTGTATTTTGCCGAGCGCTTTCGGTTATCATCAGCTGTTCATCAGTTGTTATCATGGCTGTATGTTTTGGTTTGAAATGGATTGCTTATTATTTTAGTTTTATAGATAATAAGCAACAACCCCCTCCTTAATAATAACGAACTAATCCAACAACATCGTCCAAATACCCAAAATATTATCTAAAAAAACATTAAAATGTTTATGTGGATTTTTGTCATTGTTTTGGTGTAAGGACACTGACACTAAATATTTTGTTTGTTTACTTCGGTGAAACCTAATCTCCTGATGTGAACTGCGTAATTCGGTTTAGTAGTCCGTGTATGTGACTTAGAAAATATCTCTTCTTGAAATTCGATATTCGAGATATGGATCATTTCACTTCGTACTATTTTTATGGACAGCTAATATTTTCCATGAATCACTTTTCCTGTCTCCAAAAATCGAATAGGTCACATTCGGCAAAGTCCTTTTAGTAAACGTTTCCAGGTGTGACTCTAGCAGAAAAATGTACACATTGAAGTCTGAAATATCTCTAGTGTCCGATTGGAAATTGCCGCAGTTTTATATTTTTAACTTCATGCATGCACATTGTTAGTTTTTGATTTAGTCGCCTGCACAGTACAGTAGGCTCGGTTGGGCACCATCTGTGAGAAAAAGAGCACCATGACGCAATTCACTACGCCAGAATTTTGGAAACGGCATTCTGTACTGCTTGGCATTCGCACCGGAAGCTCCAATACGAACATTTCAGTGTGTTTGGGTGTCAATCTGAGGACAGTGTAGAGGATTTGGAAAGAGTTGGATGAGTCTAATGGTGATTACGAAACTGTTTGATCACTGGTGGCGTTATGCCTCCATACATCTTCCTATAAGGCCTCACACTCAACACGGAGGTCTACATTAAGTGCTTTGAGGAAGTAGTGTTGTCCTCGGTCAAGAGGGTGGCTGTTGGAAGTCTCTGTGTCTCGCAACAGGACTTTGCACCATGCCACACAAGCAGGAGAATCCAGTCATGGCTGTCAGACAATTTCTGTGACTACATCACCACTTACATCTGGCCACCTAATTCCCAAGACTGTAAACCCCTTGATTATTATATTTGGAGCTCAGTTGAACATGAGACCAACGAAACTGCTTGAAGCACCAAAGATGAACTGAAGGCAAGGACTATGGCAGGATTTCTAACCATTACACCACATCAAAGTGCCCAAGTGTATAAATATGTATATATATACATAAAGACATTCGAAAAAATACAGCAGGAATAAATTCTTGAAATGCCAGGAAATGAGTGAGTGTATCTTACAGTTACGGTTAACCATTGTGTTTTAAAAACACATATCGTTTATTTATGATAAAACTATCAAGTAAAACCTGAAACTCTTGACA